TTGCTTCATGACATCAGCGATGCGGACCGGGTACCCCTACTAGCAGGGAGATTATCTGGGCGTGCCACAGAAGCATACCGGGCAGTACCGGATGAGGATAGTAGAGACTACAATAAGGTGAAACAGGCCATTCTAGCCCAGTATGCGATCACCTCCGAGGCGTACCACATGAAGTTCCGGGACATTAAAAAACCCACTAAGGACACTCATGTGGAATGGGCACACCAGCTACAGTGAGCTGCGAAGGGGTGGTTGGAGGCCGCCCAAGTTAACACGTTGGAGGGTCTGTTCCAACTGATGGTCCTGGAGCAATTCTTCAACGGAATCCCTGCATACCTACAGAATTGGATCAGGGACAGAAAACCACACACCCTGCAGGAGGCTGCTAAGCTGGCAGACGAGTTTCAAGATAACAGGAGAGATCAGCCCGCACAGGCCAGACCAGCCTCCACTCCCACATCAGCAAGTACCGCAGGGGGCCCCACGACTCAACCACGACTTGGGGCAAGCAAAAATTCCTACCCCCCAGGTATTCAGTATGCCCGCCAATTCGGTGCCATACCTGCAACCAACAGGGGCACATTCAGAGGGACTGCCCACGGAATCGACCCAGGCCCAGTTGGAATAACACAGCACCAAGCAACAGGGCGGCCGTACACTGCATACAGGCCGAATCAAACCAAACTCCAGAGACAGGGGCAACCCTGGAGGAACCGCTAGGAACCCTACACGAGGTGAACCCCATCCAGGCCGCCTCCGATAATCGATAAGGGCACCGCCAGGAGGTGCACATGGAGGGGAGAAAGGTACAGGGACTTCGTGACTCTGGGGCTACCTTAACTTTAGTCCGAAGCCATTTGGTACCCAAACCCAAGCTCACTGGAGACTGTGTTTGTAGCAGAATGCCAATATTAAATCCACGAATTCCGCTGGTTCAAGTAGTAATCCACAGTCAAGCGCTGGAAAAAGCAAGGCAATATCCCAAACCTCCCAGTAACCGGACGAGAGTCAACTCAGGTCTTTATTTTCAGCTCCAGAATTTATACAAGTCCCCATGCAAGGGGTTTCCTGAGTCCCCTCCCAGGGGCATTCCCAGAGGGGACTATGTGGGGGACTTACAATACAGGGCATTTCTCCCATCAGGCACTGCTGCATGAGAGGGATCCTCCCACAGGAATGTACCGTTAAGTGGATTATCCCTCAGAACCGACAATTTACGCAGCAGAACCGACAATTTATATTAAAATGCATAACTGTGGTAATATACGGACTATTTGCACGAATTGACGTTCGGTAGATAGCTGGGGTCTGAGCGCATCATTCGTGAGATTACCGCTCAGATCCCAGCTAAAACAACCAAACGCCGCACGAAAAACACATTTATTAAAATACATGTTTAAATGACCGATTGCCTTCCAGGGAACAAAGTACCGAACGGCCCGGAACTCCCGAACAGCCTGGAGGCTCAGCGGTGTTTGTGCCGTCGAGTAGCCGTTTTTAGTACCATGCGCTCGATGACCTAACACCGCTGAGGGAACAAAGGATCCAAGATGGCCGACCGCCGCATGGTCGGTAGTTGAACGGCGGCCACCTAGGAGAGCCTCTAATTACCGATTGCAACATTGTTGCAATCGGTTAACAAGCGCCACACGCCTCTAAGTGTGTGGGCTACTACATGGGGGTATTTTCGGTTCACGAATGGCCCGCAAAAGTGCCATTCGTGAAACGAAAGAAACATCCAATACAAACAGCTATCTGCATTCGGCAGATAGCCAATACAACAAATACATGTAAATTACAACCCGCATACATTCAACATAGTTAAGCCCATATCCCACAACCATATAGGCAACCCTTAAAGGCACAGTCTCTTTATAGTGTCCAAGTGGCTATGTTTGCCACAATGCTCCCCCAGAACCAAGCCGGTATACACAGTCTGATACCAATGCATCGGCTTGGGGATGTCCGGAGGAGGGCTCACAGATCACTTCTCAAGGTCTGTTTGTCTAGATAACCCGTCAGCATTACCGTTTTGTTTTCCTGGGTGATAATGGATAGTAAAGTCAAAAGGCTGCAGCGCCAAACTCCAGCGCAGCAGCCTGGCATTGTCTCCAGCCACACGGTTGAGCCACACCAACTGGTTGTGATGTGTGAGCAAAGAAAAGGGTTGCCCATAGAGATACAGCTGTAACTTTTTGAGGGCCCACACCACGGCCAGGCATTCTTTTTTGATGGTGGCGTAGCTCACTTCTCGGGGTAACAGTTTCCGGCTCAAATATGCTACGGGATGTTCTCTGCCATCTGCTCCAACCTGGCTCAGTACTGCTCCCAATCCAAACATTGAGGCGTCTGTGTGGACAAGAAAACGTTTAGTTGGATCAGGAGCAGCAAGTACAGGAGCATTTGTCAGAGCCGTCTTCAGTTGGTTAAATGCCTGTTCACACTCTGGGGCCCAGATGACCTGTATGGGTAGGTTTTTCCGCGTCAAGTCAGTCGGGGGCTTGGCCAGGGCACTGTAATTGGGCACAAACTTCCTATAATACCCGGCGGTACCTAAGAAAGTAAGGACTTGAGTTTTAGTCCTAGGGGTGGGCCACTTGGCTACGGCTTCAATCTTTGTGGGCTCAGGCTTCTGTTGCCCGCTCCCAACTCGGTGTCCTAAGTATTGCACCTCCGCCATCCCTATGTGGCACTTGCTTGGTTTTAAGGTGAGCCCTGCCTCTCCAAACTGATCTCTCAAGGCCCCTATGTGTTGTAGATGATCAGCCCAGGTCTGGCTGTAGATGGCAATATCATCCAGGTATGCACACGCATAATCCTGGAACCCGTCCAGTAGTCGATCGACCATCCGAGGCGGGCGTGCAAATGGCTGCCACGTCCTCAGTTCTCTCGTGGTAGGGTTTGAGCATGTTCACATGGAGCATGCGTCGCTTCCCTACCCCGGAGCATGGGCCGATCACATAGGTGGTATCGCATCTCTGCTCTACCACCTGGTATGGGCCCTGCCAGACGGCCTGTAGTTTGTCTGTGCGGACAGGTTTGAGAATTAGCACCTTCTGCCCCACTTGAAAACTACGGTCTCTGGCCCCCCTGTCATACCAACGGCGCTGACGTTGTTGGGCGGCCTGGAGGTTAGTGCGCACTGCCTGGGTCAATTCCTCCAGGTGATCCCGGAATGCCAGCACATATGGTACAATAGGGGTCCCCCTCCCAATGCTCTCTAATGAGGTCCAACGGTCCCTGTACCCTTCTCCCAAACAACAGCTCAAATGGGGAGAAGCCGGTAGATTCTTGGGGTACCTCCCTGTATGCAAACAACAGATGGGGAAGGAACCGCTCCCAGTCCTTATGGGTCTCTCCGAATGTACGGAGCATCTGTTTTAGGGTACTGTTGAACCTCTCACATAATCCGTTGGATTGGGGATGATAGGCAGAGTTAACGATCGACTTAATGCCACAGATTTTCCATAGCTGCTGGGTGACCTCTGCTGTAAATTGTGTCCCCCTATCGGAGATAATTTCCTGTGGGAACCCTACTCAGGAAAAGATTTTCATCAGGGCTTCTGCCACTGTCTCCGCATGGATATTGGTTAAGGCAATCGCATCGGGGTACCGGGTGGCGTAGTCCACCACGGTTAGTATATACCGCTTCCCAGAGGGGCTGGGTTTGGTTAGCGGTCCCACTATATCTATGGCCACACGGCTAAAAGGTTCCTCAATTATAGGTAGGGGACACAGTTTCGCTTTGTGGCGATCCCCTCTCTTACCTACCCGCTGACACACATCACAGGAAGTACAATAGTGCCTTACATCTTTAGAAATCCCTGGCCAAAAGAAAGCATGGGTTAAGCGATACCAGGTACGGGTCATCCCTAAATGGCCAGACAGAGGGATGTCATGAGCTATTCTCAGTAACTCGGGTCTATATTTCTGGGGCACTACCAGCTGTTTGGTTTGGACTGTCACAGAGCTCCCTATCGCCCTTTCAGCTATATGGTACAACAATTTGTTTTCCCAAATGTACTGCTCCCCCTCCCGTCCTACCTGGTCCGTGTCTACCCTATCCCTGTACACCTGCAGTGTGGGGTCTGTCTGGACCTCGGCTTCAAAGGCGGTCGGGGTGTCCCAGGTCATATGAGTCGCGGGGGGGTCACGGTCTCTTACCTGAGCCTCAGAGTGTGCTGGTGGAACCTTGATGCGAGCCTGTTGCCGGGTAGTGACGGGATGAGCTTCTTGCGAAGGGGCCTGAGGTACAAAGGCCGAAGTCATCTGGCCCAAGTCATTCCCCAGTATGACATCTGCCAGTAACTTTTTCATCATAGCCACTTCCACAACCCCCTCCCCAGCACCCCAGTTCAAACGCACTTTTGCCATGGGTAGCCGGTACATGGCTCACCCTGACACCCTGACTGCCACAGATCCGCCAGTGTGGGCTGTATCTGGGACCAAATGCGGAGCAACCAGGGTTAAAGTGGCTCCCGAGTCTCTCAGCCCCTGTACTTCTTTCCCCTCCACAAACACAACTTGACGGTGATGCTGCCTGTTGTCCGTGGCTTGCACAGACATCACCTCATACAAAACACCCAGAGGTTCCTCGGTCTGCAGGCTCATCAGTTCGGGGTTTTCTGGTTCTGCGTGGTAATAATGTGCTGCTGACCTTGGGGTGGAATTCTGCCGCACTTGGTTCCACGCCTGTCTACTCCGATTCTGGGTGCACTCCCGGGTCATATGCCCCCACTGACGGCAGGTATGGCATTGGATGTTTGCCCTGCCATTGTAGCGGGATGGTGGTGGGGGGTTCCCTTGTGCTGGCCGGAACGGAGTGGAGTTGGCTGGTGCGGAGGTGGTCAGGTGGTGCTGTACCGGTGGTCCCAGGTAACTCTTACTAATTGGCCCATGATGCCTCCTGGCATCAAAATGTTGGTCCGCCAATCTAGCGGCTTCCGGCAGGGTGAGAGGTTTGCGGTCCCTCACCCATTCTTGCGCTTCTGGGGAGAGTCCATTAAAAAATTGTTCTAATAAAGTTGGCGCAGTTCCTCCATGGTGGTGGCTTGGAACAGATGACCCCGTTAGCTACGCACAAGGTAGAAACCTTAGATCAGACCCCTCTTCGCCAAACCCCATGCAGTATTGAGCCAAGTTGGAACAGATGGCGGAGAGCACCCCGTAGCTTATCTAAGCCGAAAACTTTTACCCAGGGAAGTAAGCTACGCCGCCATTGAAAAGGAGTGCCTGGCTGTGGTGTGGGCCCTCAAATAGTTGCAGCCCTATTTATATGGACAACCCTTTACATTACTCATGGATCACAACCCGTTGGTGTGGCTGAACAGGGTGTCAGGAGACAATGCCAGGCTGCTGCGCTGGAGTTTGGCGCTGCAGCCTTTTGACTTTACAATCCACTATCGCCCTGGGAAGTAAAATGGCAACGCCGACGGGTTGTCCCGACAAACAGACTTGGAACCGTGATCCGTGAGTGCTCCTCCGGACATCCCCAAGCCAATCCGTTGGGATCAGACTGTGTATGCCGGCTTGGTTCTGGGGGAGCATTGTGGCAAACCTAGCCACTTGGACTAAACAGGGACAATATGTCTTTAAGGGTTGCCGGTATATTTTGTGTATGTGACTGTTGGTAACCTGCTGTATCCTGCCTGCTGTATTGCTTGTATTGGCTATCTGCCGAAAGCAGATAGTCATCTTCTATTTCGTTTCACGAACGGCACCTTAGCGAGCCGTTCGTGAACCAAATGAACCATCTTTCAATAGCCCACACACTAAGGGACGTATGGCGCTTGTTAACCAATTGGAACAATGTTGCAATCGGTAATTAGAGGCTCTCCTAGGTGGCCACCGTTCGGTTACCGACCACGAGGCGGTCGGCCATCTTGGATCCTTTGTTCCTTTGTTTGGTCGTCGAGCGCATGGAACTGAAAACTGCTACTCGACGGCACGAACACCGCTGGGCTTCCAGAGCATTCGGGAGTCCCGGGACGTTCGGTAGTTTGGTTCATCTATGTCAATCGGTATTTTTAACATGTGTTATGAATAATGTGTTTTTCGTACGGCGTTCGGTTGTTTTAGCTGGGATCTGAGCGGTATTCACACGAACAGTGTGCTCAGACCCCAGCTATCTACCGAACGTCCATTCGTTTAAATCTGTCAAGTATTCGAAAGGTTATGTATTTCAATGTGAATTGTCGGTTCTGCTGCACGGAGGGATAATCCATTTAACGGTATATTCCAGTGGGAGTATCCCTCTCGTGCAGCAGTGCCTGATGGGAGAAAGGCTCTGTACATTAAGTTTCCCATGTAGTCCACTCCTGTAATGCCCCTGGGATAGGACTCAGGAAACCCCTTGCATGGAGATATTGTGGATTATACTGCCTCTCCACTACAGTCAGGAATTCACCTTGATCACAGACCATAAAGCTAGTATGGCTGAACTGAGTAGCTGGGGACAATGGACGATTACTGAGATGGAGCTTGGCCCTACAACTTCTCCATTCAATATCGCCCTCAATATTCAATGGGAACGCAGACGGACTGTCCAGGCAAACGGAACTTTTACCTTAACCGCAGACCGGACAGTCCCAAGTTGACCCGAAAAGGATCAATCCGGGTCTGCCGGAGTGTTCCACAAAAGGGGAGCAGTGTAACAGAACTATGCTTTTGCCTATGCTTTTTGCCTGGACTTATATATCAATGCCGCTGGATGGATTACAAAAAAACGAATGACTATTTCATGGAAATATCCCTACTGGAGAATACAGCTCAAAATACCGAACATCGGACCACCCAGGGGAACAGTTAATTGGTATTTTACCTCCCAGCGCTTTTGGAGCCGTTCACATGGTTTCATACGAATTCCTTTGTGCTCAGGTTAGATGGCCGCCATTTCGGGACATCTTACGCATGAACAGCGGTGTTTGCCTGTGAACGCATGGAACTAAAAATGGATACGCAAACAGGCGAACACCATTGAGACCTCCAGGAGCTCGTAAGTTCGTGCTGGAACTACTGAACAACCGGCCGTTTGGTAGTTTTGTTTAAGCTCACATAGAGATTCCAGCGAACACCAGGATGACTGTGGATGGCAAGGGGTTCGTGGGGTTTTAATGCACGAACGGAGACCAACCGCAAGGCCAAAACTTATGGAACTCTTTTCGGCTAGAAAACCTGTGCGGTCGGTCAAAACTTCAAAGATCCATAACTCCTGAACCCCTCAACCGAATGGGATGCAATTTGGACATGTTGTTTCCCTGAGTGAGAGCTATCAAGCGGTGCTGGACTTAAAGGTGTACCCCCTGTTTTTGGGGTACAACTAGAATTTGGTTAAAATTGTGTCTGTTTTAATTATGTTATATGTTATCTGAGAGGAGGAGACGTGGGGGTTGAACCATGCATCTAATTGGCTGTTGTGTCAATTATGTGGGTGTAGCCTTTCAGAGGGCACCATTGCATAAAAGGAGACCCCTGTCAATAAACATCAGTTCTACTTGACCCTTCAAAACGTAGCCTCGTCTCGTTCTTGGAGGGGATTTATGGTACCGCTACTCTGCCTCATTTTACAGCACTGCCGGATATCGTGGATGGGAATAAGAACTCCATTACTTCACAGCAGCTTGCCTAGAAAAGGACGTCTCCAATGGCAGATACCCCTTTCCAGCTGGGTAGCCGTTACAGGGATGATGACAGAACAAACTCCATCAGCAGGGGAAGTCCTCACATGCTGAAGCATGGCATTCCTCCGGATCAGATAAGGCTGTGAAAACATAAGGAACAGGAGCCCAAGCGTTATAACCAATACTTGAGACTAACATCAAGGCCAGACGATGCAAAGCCCCACATATATCTGCAGTCCCATAAATCAGATATACCCGAACAATCATAGTTATACAAACAAATCCCCTTACGACACAGGCCCCACTTTCCGTACCAAACGAGTCAATATAATTCCCCTATATATTAAAATAAACAGGGTGGGAAATAAGAAACATAACATGAGCAGTACAACATGGGTGGGACAATACTTGCTGTAACGGCACCCCCAGGCATAAAAGGGTTAAACCACCGTTTAGTAGATCTTCCCTTCCAGAGACACAGGCACAGCTACTGCAGAACACCAAACTCCCGAACAGGATACCAAGTAGCACTCCAAATTCCCGAGCTGGAACCTCACGAATAGCTGCTAGTAGCTGAACAGGAAAAGCACCCAAGCGGCTTACACTCCTGGCAATCAGTCTCTAACAGCATACAGTAAATCCCCCCAAGAATGAGACAAAGCTCCGTGTTGAGGGTCAAGCAGTGAACAGACAGAGCTGTGGGTTTATTGTCCTTATATACACATTAGTACCACCCACAGGGTTTTGGAACACAACCAATAAACACATACAATACACTCAGAAACTCCCACACAAAATCCTCCCCTCTGCCTGTGATTCAATTACCTTACACAATGGGTAATGTAATTATAACAAGCAGAGAAACAAAAATGTTCCACATTATTCATAACTTGAAAAGTATGCATCACATTCACATAACATTTTCAGAATCAGCATACTCCAAATACAAACATATATCAAAATCATCCAAATTGGTCCAGTGGTTCAAAAGATAGATCGTAGTCCTGTGCCGTAGACCAAAGGAAGCATGGCTTTTCTGCCCAAAACCAGTTCCACTGAGTCTTCTATCCTGGAGATAATTGGGAAGTAATCCAATTATCTCCAAGGACAGAGGCAAAACTCCATTGAACACATGGCAGCAAAAGACAATAAAACACATAAAAACATATAACTGTGCAGCCATTGCACAAAACAGGTACATTCAACATATCCCCAGATAGCTCAGATCTGAGTGCACATTATTACTGAATGGCGCTCAGAGCACACACATACAGTTCAATTGCCATGGAGCCAAAGTCTTTCCCATAGTCTTTCATTATACGAATGGGCTCCATGGCTGGGCTTCCAGAGCATTCTGGGGTATCACCGCTCAAACAGGGCATGCACCGAATGACCCGGCTTTCGTGTCTTCACAGGGGAATATCAAGCGTTTCAACAGGGGGCCATAGTCTAAAGGCAGCAGGCGGACAACCAGGCTCCTCCAATGCACGGTGGCGAGATTGCTCTCGTCACAAGGTGGTGTCGCTAATCCGTTCCACCACTTTAAATAGCCCCTGCCAAGCTGCGTGGAGCTTGTCCTTTTTGAAAGGTCTGAGGGCTAATACTTTTTGCCCTACTTCCAGGTTCCTATCTCGCGCTCCCTGGTCATACCATTGTTTCTGTCGTTTCTGGGCCGCCTGCAAGTTCTCCTGAACTGATTCGGTTAGTGCCTGCAGGCGGTCCCGGAACTCCAGCACGTATGGCAAAACTGAGATCTCTTCTTCTCCTGTGTTGCCCTCCCAGTGCTCCTGTATGAGGTCCAGGGGTCCCTGGACTTTTCTCCTGTATAGGAGTTCGAAGGGGGAGAACCCAGTGGACGCCTGGGTAGGCAAACAGGAGGTGGGGCAGAAATTTCTCCCATTGAGCATTTCTCCCATTGAGCATTTCTCTGTGAGCATCTGCTTAATCGTGCTGTTGAATCGTTCACAGAGGCCGTTGGTCTGGGGGTGGTAAGGGGAGCTAAATAATGGTTTTACCCCGCAGCTCTGCCACAACTGTAGAGTTACAGTTGCTGTGAACTGTGTTCCCTGATCTGAAAGTATTTCCCGGGGGAATCCTACTCGGGAAAAGATCCTGACTAGAGCCTCTGCCACCGTCTCCTCCTCAATGTTGGAGAGCGCCACAGCCTCAGGGTACCTGGTGGCGTGGTCCACCACCGTGAGGATGTAGCGCTTACCGGAGGAGCTGGGTTTGTTGAGGGGCCCTCAACTGAGGGTCTACTGCCACTCTGTAGAATGGTTCTTCTATTATAGGTAGGGACCGTAACTTGGCCTTAGGGTGATCCCCCCTTTTCCCTATCCTTTGACATGTGTCACATGTCCTGCAATACGTCAAACAGGAAGAACCCTGGCCAGAAGAACGTCTGGGTAAGGCGGTCCTTAGTTTTTTTGATACCCAGATGTCCGGCTAGCGGAATATCATGGCTGAGCTTTAGAAGCTCTGTATTTGCGGGGTACGACTAGCTGTCTTTTTATAACTTGGGCAGCCCCACTTCCCACTCCCCCTGTGAACCTATATAGCAGTCCCTTGTCCCAGTGGAAGTTCTCTTGGGCATTACCTTCTTTATGGGTACCTACTGCCTTCCTTTAACCTGCTAAGTTGGGATCTGACTGCTGGGCTTGGCCAAAGGCTTTGGGAGAAGCGGGGTTAGGGCATACTACAGGGATTTCGGTTCCTACCTGTGGTTCCTCGGAGTGTGTCTGTCCAGCTTGGCAGGCTTGCTCCCTGGTAGTCATGGGGCAAGTTCCAGCAGGATCTGGGTTAATCAGCTGTGAAGTTAGGCACCCCAAATCGGTCCCCAACATTACTTCCGCAGGTAGGCCAGACATAATGCTTACTTCCATCTGTTTGGCTCTGGTGCCCTAATTTAACTGTACTCGAGCTGTGGGTAGCTTGTTGATGGCGCCTCCTGCCACTCTTACTGCAACAGTCCTGTTGGTTCGCCTTTGCAGATACGGTGTGAGGCTGTACCAAAGTAAGGGTGGCCCCAGAGTCTCGTAGTGCCTCAGCCTCCTTTCCATCTACTGT